GTGCTGTGACAGGCAACACTAAGTGGACTTCACCAAAGCAAAATGGTACAAATACTTACTCCAGTACTAGAAGAGACTCTCAGCAGTGCGGGCTACAAGAACTAGAAACCCACAACTATAACCAACTATAACCATCTTGTTTTCCTTTTTCTGCAGTAAAAGCTACTTCGCTTACACCCAGAAGAACTAACCAGAAAAGGAAATGTTTGCCTTTGGGGCCTCGGAAGAGAAAACACATTGTACCCAAAGGTATTGCTAACACAGTGGTCCGAACACCCACACCCAAGCTGTGAGGTCGACCCCAGAGCCCTTGCCTGAAAGACTGAGTGAGGGGCAGCCCTGCATCATAACACATACCCTGGTGTCACTGCCTCCATTAACAGCAGTGCAAGACAGTCCCTGCCTTCCAGAAATGGAAGGAAGAGACTAGATACAGAGAGAAGATAAGACAGTAGACAATGAAGTGCACTGAGTCATAATTCAAAGAAAATGAGGATTAAGATGTTAGTTTTTAATAAAGCGATCATGAAGATTTTCTCAGAAGTGTACTACCCAAGGCGGCTTTGGAAGACCCAGTAAGAGGGCAGGATGCTGCTGTAGCCCTCTCCCTAACCACACCCATGACACGGATGTGGATCACTGCCGTGTCTGTGACATCACCACTTAACCTTCTAAGCCCTTTTACTTTTCACTGTCACTTGATCTTGATCACAGGACAGCTAGACATTTGGGAACTGAACTACCTACAACCTGTACATGAGCCTAGATTCCGATCACTGCTGGAATTTTTCAGGGTCTTTGATAAATAAAACCCCCAATTCAACCCAAGTTTTCATAAGGAAATTAAAAATCACTTGATTAAAAACCTCTTGTATTATTCTTTCTCTCTCTCTAACCTGGATCAGAGCCTCTCCTGTCTACCCACTCTTCAATGCTGTCTAACTGCTACAAGTATTAATGGGCTGTCTCATTCACCGCTGGGAGGAATAAATAAATGTAAAAGAAATTATTTTGCTTTCAATGAAGGAACGTTCCATGCTGTGTGGTTAAGCATCTAATACAAAAA